TACCATACAATTTTAAATTAAGATTGTTGTTTTGTGCCGTCGAGTCACCTGCAACTCCTAACGACCCTATGCACAAGCCTTAACCCCTACTCTATCCTAGCCAATTCTTATTATCTCTGACACGCCTACTCTTATTACCCCAGTCATTGAATCAATCCATCTCATTGAGGGTCTTCCTCTCCTGTACTGTCCCTCCACTCTCTCAAGCATAAGGTCCCTCTCCAAGGACTGGCTCATTCTTGCAACCTGTGAAAGAATGTCAGACAAAGCTTGAGACTCTTTTGGACAAACCTGTAAATTCTCTTAGCGGTCCATGGCATATTCAATACTCTTATTCAATAATCTTCTCCAACACCATAGCTCAAAGGCATCAATTTTCCTCCTACCATCCCTAGTTGTTGTCCAGCTATCTGTTCATAGCAAGTGATTGCAAAGGTGATGGCCTGTCTCAGACACACCTTAGTCTCCAGACTGACATCGTTGTTTTTCAGTACTTTAGAGAGGTCTTTAACAGCCAACCTTCCTACCGCAATACGTATTTTCATTTCCTGGCTGCTGGTGCAAAGAGTGTTGATTGTGGAGCCAAGCAAACTAAAGCTTTTAACAATCTCAATCTCGTCACCATCTATCATGATGCTGCCAATTGGCCCAGTGGTAAGAATCTCTGTCTTCTTGATATTGAGCTTCAATCCATATTTGAAGGCTGCAGTCCTTGACTTTCTGCAGCAAGCACGTCACATCTTTTTCTATATTCCTAACTGGGCAATAATGGTTATTTGAGTACACAAAACTCCTAAAAAGCACCTGACTTTTCAATCTGATTGTCATTATTTTGTTTAGGCTATTAATACACTCTTTTTTTTTTTTTGCCGTGTACAAACCAGGTAAACAGTAATTGTTTTTATGTAAATTGATGTCTTTAAATTTTTTATTTTTAAGGCATCTACTGATTTGCATTTTATGTAAATAAAAAGTAAATATAAATAATAAATATAAAAGAGATGAATAGATTGATAGGTGAATAAACAGATAAAAAGAGAAATAAACATCTGTAATTGGTACATCAGCTGTCTTTCACGGATTTATAAACACAGCCATTTGATTTTGGCTAAACCTTGGCATTCAAAGTTGGTGGTGGAGATGCAAATCGCTTTTCTGAAGAGCTATTTGTATTGGTTAAACTGCTTTTGAGATACAAAGCAATAGGAAAGGGCAGGGAGATGGGGGGAGGATGAAATACTTTTTCAGGTTTTTTCATGACTTTTCTTACTCTATTCTGTGCAAAAGAATGGCTTGTAGTTTATTGCTGACAGGAACCTGAATATTTCCGTGACTACAGTTTTAACAAATGTTTCAAATTGTTGTTGTTGTTATGTGCCGTTGAGCTCAGAGAAGGTGTTAAGGCGACTGGCTAGCTGAAAGCTGAATGTTTCAATTGCTTGTAGAAAAATTACTTCTGTTAATTTAGTAAATGAAAAGTAAGCAATTCTTTTTCTTTTAGAGAAATTTTTTCACTAGAGTCATATACTCAAAAATGTGCCACTGAAACAATAACATGACAAATTAATTGTTTTTTATCCCATACTTAGGTCTCATTTTCTTCCATCAATGAAGTAGTTTCTATAATCTTTTATTTGTAAAATTTTAATTTTACTAAAATAATTCAGAAAAGTTAAAAGTGATGATAAACTTATGCTCTCATCTGAGGTTGACTATTTCCCTTTAGACTTCTCCACCCCCCACCCCAAATTTGTTGAATATTTAAGATTGGGGGAACATTGTTTCCTTGTTGCTTGCCACGGAGTCAGAATCAACTCACAGCTGACCCTTCAGAAGGTTTTCAGAGGCAGTTAATCACATGGGAGGAGATGATTGTGCATCTTTCTCCCTCTGAGCAGCTGAGGGATTTGAACTGTTGCCCTTAGTATTAAAGCACAACTTTCTAGTACTAGACTATCAGAGTGCCCATATTGTTCCTTCGTCTTGTTGATGTGTGCGGTCTCAAATAAAATCTGTATCAACTTAATTAACCAATCTGTTTAAATAACAGGTTGGTCTAATAACATATTTAACCTGAACTTACTTCCTACATAATCTGTTACTTGCCTAAAAACATAAAACCCACATTCATTGCTTGCAAAGAATTTTTAAGTGAACCAAATTTTAGATCATAATTTTTCTGTATTATAAATGGGGATATTGATGATGTAGAAGTTTAGGATACAAGTGTATGGCTAAGAGTCCTGAAAGTTTGGGCTTTCAAAAATTGAAATCCTTTTTGAATGTCTACATGTAAAAAAAATAAATTATTTGAATGTTAGTGGATCCACTATGTTGTGTAATTATAAAAAAAATGTAAAATCAAAATTTATGGGGAGATAAGAGAGTACTGGAAGGGTCTAGGGATTAAAGCACGTTTTCTTCTTACACTGAAGGCTTGATTACAAAAAGATGTATCATCACATAATAAAAGTCACTAATAAAATGATCCCCAAACTGTAACTGGGTTTTCTCTACTCATGTACTTTTTTCATGGCCAAGAGCAAACTAAGTGATTACTTTGATGAAATACACCCTAGATGACATGATTCTCTGTGGCAAATGTGTCCCATATCTTTTCATGTGTAGGTTTAAAGCCTGATATGTCATAGAGTCTGTTCCAACATTAGTTTCCAAGTTCCATGGAAAATTTATTAATGTACTGATCTAAATGGTTGTCAAGGTATATTGGAAGGTTTTAAAATATGAACACTTAACAGAAAGATGTGGCTCTGACTGCCAGTGTAAGAATCTCTTTAGTGAAATTGCTTATGAGTTTTCATTCTAGTAGTTTGTGTTTTGGTTTTTCTTCTAGTATTTCTATTATTTTTATATAAAAATCATATCTATCATTTTCTATGTATCTTGTCCCTAAGCTGCTTGAGAAGAACATGAGAACAGAGTGGTGTTCTCTTAACTTGACTTCATAAGCTAACTTGGGGAATCTTCAGATTCTAAGAACAAATGTACTGACTGTTTCTTCCACTTATTTTGTTGATATTAAAAAAGAAAATTTCATCTTCATAACTAATGCTATATGGATAAGTGGGCCCCATCTGGTAACAGTAAGGTCAATGCTGAAGCCTTCTGTCATCATCCAGTTTCCTCAGTTGAGACATTTCAGTGCAATCAGAAAGACAGACACACTTTCAGATACTTTTACTTCCTTATAAGAAACAAATCAATTGTCCTCCTCTCAAATTTTCTGCTGAATTAAAAATTAAATAAACAATCTTACTGAAAATGAACTAGTTAGTCAATTTAGGAGATCTCAATTATCTCCTTGATCCATTGAGGTTTTTTTTTTTATTTTTTTTCCCCATATTTTTGAGGAACTAGTATGACAAGTCAAATATGTGTGCAATGTTAGATATCACAACTGCTTCCCGGGTTTGATACTGCAACTCTGAAATTGCTTTTACAGGTCAACTAACAGCAAATGAGAGAATTCAATACACACTTATGAGGAGCAGCTGTGCTACTACAGTGGTTTTAGTGCTTGGCTTTTAACTGGAAGGTCAGCTGTTTGAACTTACCAGCCATTCCATGGGAGAAAGATGGAGTATTCTGCTTATGTAAAGATCACAGTCTTGCAAACGGGCAGTTTGACTCTGTCTGATAAGATCATTATGAGTCTGTACTGACTCTACAGCAGTAGGTCTGATTTGGTACAAACTTACAAACATGAGATGTAAAGCCAAGGTAGTATTTCAACACCTCCTTATCGGAACCATTTAAATCACCATCTTACACAGTACATATTGAAACTCAACTTTAAGCGTTTTATTTTTATGTACATTTCATTTCTGTTCAGAAATAAAATATCTAAATACAGACAGATTTTAATGTATTATATGTATAGCTTTCAACAATACTTGAGCTGAATAAATGCTTTGTACATTAATTTTGTCTTTTTAATGGAATTCACAGCTACATTGATAAAATGGATTCCTCATATCCTTTTTTTCTTTTTAACCAATAACAAGCAGATAGACAAGTACAAGTTAATATTATTAAGCAGCTCAAATAACACTTGGTTAAACTATGTACAATACAAACCATTCATACAAATGAAGACTAGGATATTGAATTTGTTACAATATGTGTAGTAAAGATAAGACAGACACTTATAACTTACATGGTGTCTGCCTGGCATTTTCCTTCTTATATAATGATCAGAACTTGTTTTAAGCGGCCTCAGCTGATCTTGACTTCACAAAAGTCCAAAGATTGGTGATGAAAGCTGTAATCCAAAAGGTCTGCCCACATGTAAAATTCCAAATGTTTGCTCATCTTTACTGAAATAGGCTCCCTCCATAGAAAAAGAGCCATCTCGTATCACCTTGAATGTGACTACCATATGCTGGAAAGAAGTTACTACACTTTGTTGTGCTTATAAAATAAAGAATACAGAGCTCTAGAGACACATTTATTTTTTTTTCCATTTTAACAAGCATATACTCCTACAGTATTATTTACCAGGACAGCTACTCCAAGCAGTAGGAATGCATGAGTGGGGATTATTGATTGGCATGTACTCGAGACTTTAAAAGAGATTTCCATAATGGCAAGTGTTAGAAAGCATTCTGTCTAGTTAATCCTTTTGCTTGATGATAGTTTATCCTGAACCATTATGAGTCAGACAATGAAAGCCCTCTCAACAGGAATCATGAGAGATGAAAGCTGAAATGTGTGAGTGTGTGTCTGTGCGTCTGTGTGTGAGAGCATGTCTTCAAATGTGGTTCTAAAATCGGTGGCGATTTACAACTATGCTGAGAGATGAAGCTAACCGGGCAGAAATGACATCAGGTTGTTTTCCACTAGCATTATTTGCAGCCAGTTGACGAGAGCAGCAGTGTAGACACATTCCAGGCAACAGACGTGACCTTCTTCTGGGAGGTAACAGCCCTGTCATACGACCTTGGATTGCTCAGGCTTCAGTCTCACCCCCACGTCCATCCTCATCCCGAGGGAAAGTAAGGTGTGTCACTGTGGTAGTTGTAGTCAGGGCACACTTTCTGTACTAGTTTATAATCGGTACTATAAAAGGAAATGTAAATACAGATCACCTTAAAGGGCTTGGAGCAGAGCCAGGACACGTGACTTTGGGTCTGCTCCTGGTAACAGGTTTTTGAAGGGTCATAGTTGCAGAGTGTGTTCTTGGTAGCCTTGTCAACCTTTTCATATTCAATGCGACAGTTAAAGGACTTGGAATCTTTGGCATCAATCACGGTTTGTTGTGCCAAATCAAATTCCACTATTTTCGTCGGGGGCACCAAGCTGACCGATACGTTCCCTTGACCTGTGGAATTATGTCTGAAATAGACACTGAATGTTCCATTGCCATGATCCACAATCTTCCCAGTTATCAACAGGTTTAGCTTCACTGTTTTGATGTTGGAATGAAAATCACCCCATCCAAACATTTTCTTAAATTTGCCCGTCTTAACAATGGGCCTTCGCTTGGCCCTGGGCCGAGGCTCTTGAAGGTCTGTGGAGTTCCTCAGCCAGTCCCAGAGGTCTTGCTCAGAATAAGGTTCTGGGGTGTCGTATCGCAGGTCCAAATCTGTGTCATTTTCTTTGCCACGAAAAGTCTGTGACAGGAGCCGGCTGATAGACAAGTCTTTGCTGCTTTCTGTCCATATGTGCTTTAGTGTGGATTTGCTGCTTCCTGATTTGAGAAGTTCTGACTTTCCACCATTTGTTAAATTAGTGCATGTGACCTGAAAACAAAAGAGAAAAATAGCATTTACATCTCTGCATCTGAACAGAACACCCAACACAAAGATTACAAGTCCTTTTTCAGAGTTGCAGAATTAAATAATGGTCATTGTTTAAATGTTTTCAGCATCTGCTCAGTAATTACATACAAAAATAATAAAATTCTACTTGTATTTTTATTTGTCAGTTGAGAAAGGGAGATGTAGTAGATAAAACTCATCAAGCATGACTCAAAAATCTATGTAAGAACTTACTTTGATATAAAAAGAGGACATAATAAACAAAGTAAGCTAAGCTCAGATATAAGCCAGAAAAGAATAATTATTCCTTAGCAACAAAACCCAGACACTTTGGAGACCAAATTTTACAAATGACAATGTCCTTTTCACATCAAAATTACTATAAGTTTTAAGATTATTTGATGCTCAGTAATATAACAAGATCCAATAGATCTTTTTCTTTTCTATGCCACAGTCATATTAGAAAAGTTAGTTTTGTAGAGATTTTAGTGAATGTTCAATGTTCAAAATATATAACAACAAACATCAAACTTTAACAGCAGCAGTATGTTTATTAGTCCCTACTGTAAGCAAGGACTATTATGTAGACTATGTAACTTTTCATCTCTACTGCTAGTCTAAGAAAAGCTAGATTAAATTAAAACTAGTAAATTAAGCTTCAATGTCCAGAAAACATATATGCTTCTTCTTGGAATAGAAGCATCACATTCAAGGACTATTCTCCTTGGACCGTAATCTTGAGTCTTTAGGTAGAAGTCAATCCTGGACTAACCAGATATTCAAAGGAACTAGTATCCATACAGTCTTATTGGCCTAAAGTTGGTTGATGAATTTCACTTATAACCTAGTGAGATCAAGGACAGGAGGGAATACAAGCAAGGACTAACACACACCAAAGTATCCAATACAGATATAATTCTGTAAAACTTGAACTGATAGTGCTGGGCTAAGGTTGCTGAAGAGATTCCCCAGCTGTCCTATTAAAAAGCCAAGAATCAGAATAAGCCTCCATCTCGGGGCCCCTTGACAACCAGTTCTGAGGACTGTCTCAGACATAAGCCTGGCTGTCACTCAGAAGTCTCGCTGGACTCTCCAGTCTCCCTCCCAACTCCTCTCAAAATTAAAGGTCAATCCTAGAAGGTATTTTTACTCATGCCCACTAGGAAATACAGCTGCATTCTGGGGATTTCACTATAGACTAAAAGTGACTAATTTATTTAACATCTTAGCTTTTCAGGTCTCTTGCTAATACACAACCATAACTTGAGAATAGCCTTTCCTTCACTCAACCACTTGTGCTAAAGATCTTCACCAGGTTCTATCAAATAAAAGCATGGACTTTATAGGAGGGAAAGACACTAGGGTGGTAGAGTGTGGTGGATGGAGGGAGGAAAGATCCCATGGGGACCTGAAAAGACAGGGTAAGAATGGGCATAGATTAATTGTGATTAATTTTATAAAAACACCTTGTATGCATGAGAATGAGTGTATGAATGAAACACAATGGAAATGGTGAATAGTATGAAATACAATGTATACGAACTTTGTTAGCAAACCGATAAAAAATTCCTCATTGTTTAAGAATGATCATATGAGACACAATGTGAATGAAGGAATGTGTGAAACACAATGTACATAAGTGAAATGCAAGGTATATGAATTATTATGAAAACCAAGATAAAATTTTAAAATGGAGCATGAACTTTAGATCTACTCTAAAGTAGCTGTTGTTACTGTTATTTGCCTTTGAGTTGGGAACAACTCATAGTGACCCTAGAACAACATATGTGATCCTAGAACAACATATCTGGACCGTGCCCTACCGTGTACCATTATCACATTCTCTCCATGCTCCAGTTCATTGTTACAGTCACTGTGTCAGTTTATCTTGTTGAAAGTCTTCCTGTCTTTCACTGTCCTCTATCTTTCACAGCATGATGTCTTTTTTTCAGGAATGGGCCCTTCATGACAATAAGGCTAAAGCATATGAGATGAAATATCAGTATCCTTTCTTTTGAGGGGTATCCTGGTTGTACTTCCTCAAAGACATACCTTTTGGCAGTCCACAGTACACCCAGCACTTTTCATCAACACCATAATTCAAAGACATCAATTCTTTTTTCTTCATTCACTATCCAACGTTCAGAAATATGAAGCAATTGAAAATATTGTGGTTTGGATCAGGTGCACCTTATTCTTTAAACTGATATCGTTGTTCTTTTGCACTTTAAAGAGGTCCTTCACAATGTAACACATTTTTATTTTTTTGACTGCAGCTATCACAAATGTTGATTATAGAGCTCTACTCTAAATGCTGTATCATCGGCAGTGACATTTCAAGCCAATTATGCAAGCCCAAGTCACTGTGTCAATCCATTTTGCTTCAGATCTTCCTCTCTTTTTCCGACCTTTCTTAACATGATATCTCTCTTCAGGGACTTGTTCCTCCTGAAAATATCCTCAAAGTAAGTAAGATGAAGTACCATCCTTGCCTCTAAGGAGTACTCTTATTGTACTTCCTTCAAGAAAGAGTTGTTTGTTCTTTTCTGATTATAGATTTCTGATTCTGCTCTAACTCATGCCTAAAGTGATGGTTTCCATGTCAATTGAAAATCTTCCTTCCACCAAGTGGTTTGCAACTGGTGTGAGAAGGAACTTTTACTCAGGTGATGTTTAATAAAGTTAGGAAATATTTTTGATAGTCACAACTGGATGTTATTACTGTTATTTAGTGGGAACACACTGGATAAGTTATTAAGCATCATTAAATGCTCAAGAAAGTGCCTACAATAAAGTCTTTGACCAAAAATTTCCATACTACTACTGTTTGATGTTAGGTGCTATTGAATCAAGTATGACTCATATCAAACCTATGAATAACAGATCTAAACTCTATCCTATCCTGTGCTATCCTCACAAACTCTGGCTCACTTGAATCCATTGTTGAAGTCACTGTGCGAATCCATCTGGTTGAGGATATTCCTGGATTTCACCACTCCTTCACCTTCCCAGGCTTGATGTCCTTCTCCGAGGAATATATTCTCCTTGCAACATGCCCAAAGGATGTGAGATGAAGCCTTGTCATCCTCCCCTCAAATGAGCACTCAGACTACACTTTCTCCAAGACATATCTATTTGTTCTTTTGGTAGTCCATGGGATATTCAACACTGTTCTCCAACACCACAACTCAAAGACATCAATACTTCTGTCATCCTTATTAATTGTCCAGCTCTCAGCAGGGTGAGAATTGAAAAGATTGTTGACTCAAACAAACCTTAGTCTTCAAACTAACAAAATTGCTCCTCAATAATTTAGAGAGGTCCTTGGTTCCAGATTTTTCACATGTAATATATCTTCTAATCTCTTGAATATTGGTACCAAAGGTATTGATTGTGAATCCAAGTAAAATGAAGTTATTTCTCCATCTATCATGATATTGTCTACAAGTTTGGTCATAAAAATTTTTGTTTTTTTGATGTTGAGATGCAATCCATTTTGAAGGCTGTAGTCTTATTTTCTTCATAAGTACTTCAAGTCTTCCTCGCTTTCAGCAAGTAAGGTTGTATCATTTGCATAGTGTATGTTGTTGATGAGTCTTGTTTCTATTCTGATGCCACATTATTCTTCAAAGAGTCCAAATTATTAAATAATTCGCCTAGCATTCAGATTGAATAAGTATGGAGAAAGAATACAACCCTAATAGAAACTGTCCTTAACTTTAAACTACGTAGTGTTCCCTTGCTCTGTTTGTACAATAGCCTCTTGGTCTAAATATAGGTTTCACATGAGCACATAGTGTCCATAATATTAAGTTTGTGAAATATCCAAATACTAAAGTTTTTCAATTAAGCCTTTCATAAATTCACTGCATAGACAAGCAAGTGCTATTTTAACATAGGTTATATTCCTTGACTATACCTTGAAAAGCTATAACTGTAACACTGGGTAGGCTGACAGAAAACATTTAGTATTTCAGGATGCTTTTACCTTCAAGGAGTTGGACTAACAGTAATTGCAACAATGGGTTTAATCACAGCAGAGATTGTAATGATGACACAAGATTGAGATAGATTCTTTTCTGTAGAACATAGAGTGTCTATGAATCACTCTACCCAACACTATCTAACAATAATAACATTCTAATTTACTGGTATCCTAAAGACAGTAATAATGACTTCACAGAAAGTCTCAGGAGAACATTGTGTACAGAAATCAGTGAATGAGAAGCAAACATTGGCTGAGCAGATCTGAGTTCTATGGCTAACATTATTTTCATTATAATTACAAAACCAATAGAAATAAATACAATTCTCAACCTACTTCATTGGAGGAAATGAATTTCAAAATATATCGTTTTCATATTGCACAAGTAACTACAATATAAATTTTAAAGTGAACTGGTAAGAATAGTTCACATATTCTGGTTTTTTGTGAGGGTTTTTTTTTGCATTTTTTAATAAAATAAGTTTTATTTTAAAAATGTGTTGGTCAGTCAAGCATCCAAATCTGTACTTGCCTATTTTTATATTATTCTTCCCACAGCACATATATTTGTCCTTACTCAGCGGAACTTAACAACAACAACAACATAGAGCTCGGTGGGCCTAGTGGACAGAAAGTGATGCTACCAAGCCAAAGGTGAGTGATTTTAATCTGTGGCCCTCAGGCCTGGTTTTAATTGTTTTTGCTCAAACATTCTTGTAATTGATATAGCCCTGGTCTGTCCACTTGCTGTACAGAGGTAACTCATGGTTGCTGTGATGCTAAACACTATGACACTGATGTGTCAAATGCATAATAGTTACCCATGGTGGACAGTGTTGGGTGGAGCTATCTGATTAAAACAAGCTTGGAAGCAGGAGTGGCATCCACTTCCGAAATAGCTTGCCTCTGGAGACCCTGTGAACCAGGAGAAACAAAGGAAGGTATACAAGTGTTCTGGTCTTTTGTTCATATGGTTGCTATGAGTTGTCAATGACTC